GCCATGGTTCTGTCCCATTTGCAATATGTTGATGATTTGTTGTTATGTAGCCCTAGCTATGAGGCAAGCACTGTGGATACTGTCAGTTTGCTTAAACACTTAGCAACTGTGGGTCACAAGGTTGCAAAACACAAAATGCAATTGTGTAAATCAAAGGTTGATTACTTAGGTTTTGTTCTGGCTTCAGGCACCAGACAATTGAGTCCAAAACGTATTGAGGTCATTCAGAGGATTCCTAAATCCACTACTCGGAAGGAGCTGCTCACCTTCCTTGGCATGATTAATTACTGCCGCCAATGGATCCCTGAATGCTCCCATTATGACTCAATCCTAAGGGAGGCTGTACGTTCTGACAGCCCTGAAGATGTCTGCTGGTCACCAGACATGCTAGCTGCGTATATTGCCCTTAAAGTTGCTATTGTGCAAGCCCCGGCTTTACGACAACCTGTGTATTGTGAACCATTTAATTTGTATGCTTGGGACAACTGTAAAACCATGTCCGCAGTCTGCACAAGAGCACGGAGGCAGCATGCGTCCCATAGCATGCTTTTCCAAAGTAGTTTAAGCTCCGGTACATGGTATGCCGGCGTGTCTCAGAGCATTGGCAGCATGCTTGAGACTGCTACTACTATCACACCAGGGCATCCTACAATACTCCATACCAGTCACCAGGTCACTAAGCTTATAAAAAATCTCACCACACAACACATGACAGCCCAGCGCTTAAGTGGTTATGAGATTATTCTTCTTAATACCCAGAATCTGTCTATTGTCCTGTTAATTCTGGTCCTATGTCTGTTTTGCATGCTATTCTCACTTCTGCATCTGACACTGTGTCTATACCATCTGGGCCTCATAATTGCATTTGAACAAATACATATTGCCACATCTCCCAGAGCAGACCTCTCCTCCACAGCACTCAGTGGCTTGGATGTGATCACTGTCTTTGTGGATGGCTCTTGCTCCAGACCATATGACGGTACATACCTCACAGGCTATGCCGTGGTACAGTTACCTGATAAAATCATTGAAGCTGACACAATTTTCCAGCCATCTGCACAAGCTGCAGAACTCATTGCTCTTACACATGCCTGTCAGCTTTTCTCAGGACAGCGAGTGAACATTTACACAGACTCATAATATGCTCATGGGGTAGTGAATGATTTTGGTATGATTTGGAAACAAAGAGGCTTTGTAGGAGCCAATGGAAAAGCCATTTCACACACAAATCTCATCCAATCACTCCTAGATGCTATGCTGTTATCCACTGCAAGGCACACACTCTGGGTAGTGATGACATTTCCAGAGGTAATGCCTTGGCTGACAAAGTGGCAAAAGAAGTTGCAGCCAAGACTCTTTACTATGAAATGTTTCCTGCTATGCTCTCACCTCCCACATGCCCTACTGACAGTTTGCTTTTGCAGCTCCAAGCCTTTGCAACGCAATCTGACTTTGATTTTTGGATTAAACAAGGTTTAGAGAAAGATCAGAATGATCTTTTCTCTAAAGAGGGGAGAATAGCCAGCTGCTTTATTTTCATCAGTCAGGCACATGGTCCTGGTCACAAAAGCATAGCAAGCACCATCCAATTCCTCATGAATTGATTTTATATTAGGAATCTCAGGCAGCATGTACAGTCTTTTGTAAGATTTTGTGACGCATATATGAGAACACATCCTAATATTATACACAAATCACAGCATGAACATTTGCCCCCTCCAGCTGCTCCTTTTACACACTTACAGATTGATTTTACTCATGTACCCAAAATTGGTAAGAAACAGCAATACTTACTGGTCACAGTTGATCAGTTTAGTAGATGGCCCGAGGCCTTTGTGACATCTAGGGAAGATGCTAGGACTGTAGTGAAGATTCTTGCTACTGAAATTATTCCCAGGTATGGCTGCCCTCTGCATATTAACTCTGATAATGGCTTGGTTTTTGCCAGTAAGGTTACCCAGGAACTTGCTAAATTCTTGCAAGTTTCATTTACCCTATCATCCACAGAGTTCAGGGGTAGTTGAAAGGATGAATAGGACCATTAAGGAGAAGCTTATGAAAGCTATTGAGGAACATGGGTAAATTGGACAAAATATCTTCCAGCTATTTTAGCTGAGATAAGAATGACTCCCCACAAGGTGACTAAATTATCTCCATTTGAGATTCTGATGGGACGACCTTTTCCGACACCTTGGGCCAGGGAACCACTTGTTATAATGTCTGGGGATTTACAGCTAATACAAGAACAATATGTACAGGAATTGTTGATAAAACTGAATAGTATATATGGCAATGTTTCTTCGCAGTTTCTCTTACCTTCACAGGAACCTACTTATCCATACCAGCCTGGTGACAAGGTGTATATCCGTCAGCTGAACAGGACCAAGAAAGGAGGATACCCTTTCGGACCACCTGCCACTGTGATTGCTGTAACCAGAACCGCTATCCTCACAGATTCCCACAACATCTGGATTCACGCATCCCGAGTGAAGCTGTGTCCAAAGAGGGGAACCAAGGAAGACAATACCACTCCTCACTCGGAAACAGAAGAATTTCTCCTTAGCGAAGCATCATGGCTTTAACACCATATTGTAGATCAGGAGTGTCAAACATGCGGCCCCCCAGATGTTGCTGAACTACAACTCCCATGATTCTTTCAATGAAACAGATAGCCAGGGAATCATGGGAGTTGTAGTTCAGCAACATCTGGGGGGCCACATGTTTGACACCCCTGTTGTAGATTGAGAGGATCATATGAACCTGAGACCAAGATTATGTTTTGCGCTATGCTTTCTGGAGTTGTTATACTCCCTCTGATATTGTTCCTTGAATGCCATTATGACTACAAGTCAATGGGAAGTTTGAAACCTGTTTGTTTCTGGAGAAAAGACTCTGACACGATGAACAATTCTTCAATACCCCCACCCCAATTAGGCCTTAGCCCCTCATCTAACATTCGTCACACACGCTCCCTCAAGAACCTTTCTCCGCCACCTATCTATCAACATGTAATATGCAATCACTCATTGACTGAACGTATTTGGATGAATTGGACAAATAATAACCCTTATAAGTACCAGTTAACCATATGGAATGTGTCCAGAGCTAATGAAACCGATGCATTATGTTTGTTTGAAGGTTCACGGAAAATTGTTAGATCTTATATCACAGGAACTGGTACAATTAAGGTTGCTAATTACACTGGATTTTGCGCTACCTTATTTAATATAAGTTCTGATGGTAAGAAAAAAACCACCTTAACATGTTTGGGATATATATTATAAGAAAATTAGTAAGGTTGCATATCAATGTAAACAGACAGGCCTTATTACTTGTAATAATGATTATACAACTGGTACCATTAATTGGAAAAGGGGACAAATGTTAGTCATTATGAACGACACTGCAATTGAGAACTGTACACTACCTTATATTTTTACACCTTATTACTGCCCTTTATCCTCTACCATAGAACCAAAAGTCAACAACGACACACACACACACCTATTCCATCCACATATGTTAATACAACTGCCTTCTTACAAGCTGTACATGTGTCATTAAAAATCACTTCTCCTGTTGTTACATTATGTAACACAGCAAACAAAAGGCAGAAAATGGAATGGTATGACACACTGTTAGGAGGTGCTGGAACCACTATGGGAAGGCCATGAGTTACACGAGACCATGAGTTTGGACTGGAAGAAAGAAGATTTCGTCTAAGGCAAAGGAAAGGTTTTTTTACTGTAAGAACAATCAGAATGTGGAATTCTCTGCCTGAGGAAGTGGTTTTATCAGAGTCCATACAGATGTTCAAACGGCTACTAGATGCATACTTGCAAGAACAGAATATTCAAGGATATAATCTTTCAATGTAGGGTAATAACTGCTTGATCCAAGGATAAATCTGACTGCCATTCTGGGGTCAAGAAGGAATTTTTTTCCTAGCTTGTTGCAAAATTGTGCTTCAAACTGGGTTTTTTTGCCTTCTTTTGGATCAACAGCAAAAAAACAAATGTGAGGTAGGCTGAACTTGATGGACGCAAGTCTCTTTTCAGCTATGTAACTATGTAACTATGTAACTATGTAAATAGTATAGGCATGGAGACCCTCAAGAATAAGTTAAACACGGCCAGCATGCATATAGGGACTGGTTTCCATGCTACTGGGGTCCAACTGTTGTTAAATCACAGGTTACAGGATTGGATTTAGATAAATCAATGTATAACTATTTAGGTAATTTAACTGTTGCAACTATGAAATTCACTACAGGTCTAGGTAACTGGAGTACTTGTGCCATCAGGTATTTATGGATGCAACAACAAAGACTGGCATTCGAAGACACACTAATGATTCCTAAACTAGAGAGAATTAGAGGGATGCTTAACCTCACAGATAATGAATGGTTACTTCTAAAACCCCAATCCACTAAATGCAATGAATGGTTAACTGGTAATGTTTCACATTTTTCATGCTCATGCTATTTTACACTATATCATACATCAAAGGATGTTAAATTAGCTTGTCAATTTAACACATTACCAGTACCTGTTTATGATCTCTTTGCCAGGAAGTTAACCTGGTGGGCACCCACATACACAGGGGACTATATTTTCCCCAAAGATAATATGACCTATTTCCTCAAACACTGTGTTCTCACTGACAAAGGTGTTGTGCTATTTGGAACAGTATTAAATTCTAATATCCAGAAAACAATATGGATGCTGGTAGACTGGCTTGGACATTACGTAAGGCTGTTTCAACACAGGTCAAATGAACTTTGTATTTTGTAACCTTAAGAAGTAAACAGGAGGAATACTTATCTACAGTTTAATTTGTGAGCTGTATGTGTACAAGGGTAACAAGAACAATGGTTTATTACTCAATTGGACTTTACAATCTGAGATATTTAAACTCACAGAGCTTCAAAGGGGTATACAAACTATGCAATTGTTTGTGCATAAACATCATAGGCAATCCAGAGTGTTTGTTAGCCACACAAACCCAAAGTCTGAGGTCGCTTCCATATTTTCAGGATATTAGAACTTAAATGAATCTATTGGAATCATGCATGATATACAAATGTAAACTAAATATGTGATTGCTACAGTAATGTCTAAAACGGCATCCTTGGCTGATTTAGGGGTAAAAGGTAATATAAATATACTAATATAATTAGATTCTATTTTTTTTTTAAAGATGAATGTATCAATCAGTTATTCATACAGGTTAGATGGATATAGGGTATAGACATATTGCATTATGATTAATATAACCAACCCTGTTTGAATCAAAGAATATACATAACCAAAGACAGATATTTAACGTTATTTGAAATATCCCCAGTATAGGTGAATTAAAGGTAAATTCATTTATTTAACCAGGTAATCAATGATCTAATTCAGATCTTCATACCTAGGGAACTAGTGCCATCTATTGATGAAAGTCCTAAGGGCCACATTAATAATTAAATATTAAGATATTTAATATTTAAAAGTCAGATTTAAGTCCCAGGTACCACCCATTTACAAGCAAGGGGCAGGAACTGATAAGGGGGAAATAATGGTTAAATAGGGAGAAAAATAAGAGAGAGTGATCTTCAGATCATCTTAAAAAATGTTTAAAGGAGAAAACAGAGGGCTAAGAAAGGAGGAGATTGACTGACTAAGGGCAATAGACTGAATTACAGACCAGAGCACCCAGAGAGAAGAATCCCAAATTGAATTCATTCATCCTAGACTCTTGGTAATGTATAAAGGTTTCTCTTTACTTCATATTAAATAAACTGGACGATTGAATGCCCTATGTGTCTATATTGTGAACTGATCCCTATTGATAGAACAGTTATATCTCATTCTACCTGCAGCCTGAGTCAGATATAACTTCCTAAGTCGGAACATTCTTGATTCCTTCAGTTCAATATATATATATATACATATATATATATATATATACATATACACATATATATATATATACACATATATATATATATATATATACACACATACATACATACACACACACACACACACACACACACACTAAGGCTATCAGAAACCTTAAATAAATGTACTGTAGTTAAACTGATGGTATATACTTGGCAGGGTTGGTTGTTATTTAACTAATTAATAAAATGACAATTGTATGATTAATGCAAGGGGTGTCATATGAATAATTCTGTATACTGGTTCTGCTGTGAAGTTTGTAATAGCTTTTATTGTCCTTTGCTGATAAGATTATAGATAAGACAAAGTGTAATGTTGACTCTTAGGCTTGTCAAGTAAACTAATTGACTTGTTGATATAAACTCATATATAATATAGCAAATTGATTATAGTTGTATTGTTTTGTTGCTTTGCATTTTATAGTGTGTATTATTAAACACACACACACATATATACATATATATATATATATATATATATATATATATATATATAAAGCAAAGTCTGTTTATTGGCCATTTGCCGTTCATAAGTGTTTATATCACCACTTAAAAGAACTACAGGGTTCCTGAAGGCTCTATGTGTGTGTGAATATCAGATATTATTCAATCTATATTCCATACATATAAAACCCTAGATTACCCAACAAAGGATATGCATGTCGACACTCGTCCCCTATTTACGAACCATGCTTACTCCAAAATGAACTTAACAAGTGCATATGGCACATATATCCTGAAAATTATTTTACCATGACTGAAATAAGCACACAACAAATCTGTTTGGCAACTAACCTCCCTACAAAGATGATTACTAGTAATACAAGTATTAATCTACCTCTCCCCTTTTCAGGATGTTTGACTAATGTTACCTGGTTAGATCCTAATGGCACCCAATATTATTTCAGCGACACAATCACTTTAGACAAACATATTAATGCCCTATTAGG